AATATTATTGTATTAACTCTTTTATATTTCTTGATTGTCACTCATGCACACACATACTCTGTATGTTTACACACACATTGTCCAGGCTGTTGTATAATCTGTTGTTTCTCTGTTTAGGGGCAAAGGTGATCATCGCATGCAGGGACATGGAGAAAGGACAGGAGGCCTTGAAAGAAATCATAGAAACGTCAGGCAGCGACAATGTCAAGTGCATGAAACTTGACTTGTCTGACACCAAGTCCATAAGAGAATTTGCTGAAGCCATCAACAGAGGTGAAATCATTTCTTCTTTAGAAAACGCTGCACGTGAAGGTACTATAAAGGCACAAAGTTTAACCTCTCATTCCTTTTTTTTCTACAGATGAGCCAAAACTCAACATCCTCATCAACAACGCTGGCGTGATGATTTGTCCTTATGGGAAAACTGCAGACGGCTTTGAGACGCAGATCGGCGTCAATCACATGGGTAAATGATAAAATCAATTACAATTGAAATTAGGGATACCTCCATCACCGGTGGATTGTCTTGGAGGCGTACACTGGATGTAGGGATGTGAAACATCACTGTGAGTGTGGGGATCCTCACAAGCCCTCAGCTGATCGCTGCTTTGTTGGACTACCCAAAAAAACAAAAGGGTGGCCCTCCGCAAACGCCAGGTGCCAAAGGGAAAACTCTGACTGTTGTTTGTGTTTATGCACTGAACATCAGTTTGGAGCACCTTCTTGGAGTCTCTGGGTGGTGTCCTGAAAGGAGTGCCACCTGGGGACTCCGTAGTTCTCTTAGGTGACTTCAACGCTCCTGTGGGCAGTGATGGAAAAAGCTGAAGGGGGTGACTGGGAGGAACGGCTTGCCTTATCTGAAAGGTGATGTTTTGTTATTGGACTTCATGCTCGTCATGGATTGGCCATAACACTCAACATGTTCGAACATGAAGTAGCTCATAAGTGTACTTGGTATCAGAGCACCATAGGCCAAAGGTCGATGATCGACTTCGTCGTCATGTCATCAGAAGTACGGCCGTATGTTTTGGACACTGGGGTGGAGAAAGGAGCAGAGTTGTCAACTGATCAACTGCTGGACAGACCTGGTAAACCCAAATGTGTAGTGAGGGCGAGCTACGAATGTCTGGCGGAGGGCCCTCTCTGTGGGGTTTTTGAACCCCAACCTCCGGAAATCTTTCTCCTGCATCCCGAGTGAGGTTGGTGACATGAAATCTGAGTGGACCATGTTCAAAGTCGTCATTGCAGAAGCGGCTGTTAAGAGTTGTGGTCAAATGGGTAAATTCTGGTTGCATCAGGGATGGTGCCTGTGGAGTTGCAGACTAGGGTGGTGGTTTCCATTTTTAATAATGGGAACCGGATGGTGTGTTCCAGTTTTTGGGGTGTTATATTTCTCAGCCTCCCTGGGAAAGCTTCCTCTATGGTGCTGAAAGGGAGGCTCCGACCAGCCCACATGTGTTTTGTGGATTTGGAAAAGGCCTATGACTGCTTTGTTGGGAGTATTGTGGGAGTATGGGGTACCGGGCTCATTGATACGAGCTATTTGGTCCCTGAACAACCAAAGTGACAGCTGTGTTCACATTCTCGGCACAGAGTCATACACGTTTCCAGTGGGTATTGGACTCCACCAGGGCTACCCCTTATCTCCAATCCTGTTTGTGGTGGTCATGAACAAGATCTCAAGGTGCAGCCGGGGTGAGGAGGGTGTCCATTTTGTGGACCTCAGTGTCGCGTCTCTGCTTTTTGCAGATGATCGTCAGCACGCACTGAAACAGTTTGCAGCTGAGTGTGAAGCATCTGGGATGCGAGTCAGCACCTCTGAGTCCAAGACCATGGGTCTCTGCCAGAAACCGGTGCATTGCTCCCTTCGGGTTGGGGAGGAGTTGCTTCCCCAAGCAAAGGAATTTAAGTATCTCAGGGTCTTGTTCACAAGTGATAGGAAAATGGAATGCAAGACGGACAGGCAGCTTGGTGAAACTAAACTATGAGAATCCTCTGTTGTCTTTTTTTTAGGTTCAAGACATTAGAAATTGGGTTACAGTACTTACACAGTATCTGTTCTCTGTTCTCTAAAACAGAATTGAGTTTGAAAGCTATTTTTCTTTCCTTTCCAGGTCACTTCCTGTTGACATACTTGTTGCTTGACCTGATTAAAAGATCAGCACCAGCCAGGATCGTCACTGTGTCTTCCGTGGCTCATGGTTGGGGCTCCATCAATCTGGACGACATCAACAGCGAGAAGAGTTATGACAAGATCAAAGCTTACTCCCAGAGCAAGCTGGCCAACGTCCTCTTCACCCGCTCACTGGCTAAACGGCTAGAGGGTGTGTTATTCCCCCTTATTGCTGTTATTTTATCCATATTTGGAGCATCTGGCAGCATTCATTTCATTTCATTTCATTTTTACATTTTTTTAGGCACAGGTGTGACAACATACTCTCTCCATCCTGGTGCTGTTAAGACCGATCTGCAGCGTCACGTCAGCGGCTTTTTGTATGTTGTCATGATGGTAACCAAGCCTTTCTTTAAAAACCCTGCCCAGGGAGCTCAGACATCAATCTACTGCGCTGTGGAACCATCACTGGCAAATGAGACCGGTCAATACTACAGGTACACTTTTAGTACAGCACACAGACATTTAATTTCACTGCATTATATATTTATTTCAACAGCATCTTTGCTTAAAGCTAGCGTAGGCAGAAATCAGGAAAGGTGGGAAAACAAAATGACTAGATTTGAAAATGCAGCCCTGCTCCTGAGGCTTTTTCCTCCCTTCCAACCAGATAAGCACGTATATATTCACATGCTTCATACACTGACTTCTATTGTCATTAACTCTATAATGTTACAAAATTCAGTAATGAGCAGCCCCACTAGTTATATGTCTGTGATCCCAATGCCATCATATAGCAGCAATTCTATGAGAATTAATGTCCTGCTTTTCTTTGCAAAATTGTGGGACTTTGAGATGACAGCAGCTTATCCATCCAAGAGAAAAACAACAAACTTGGAGTCCAACTTAAGGCCAATGCAATCACAAAGTTCTCTCCATCGCCGACACTGACATGTCTTTCATTGCATTTATTGTCAGATTGCCTTTTAGTCTTTTTTTTTGGCTTTTTGTCTATTTTATAATCAGTCATTGGTTTCATTGGGTTGCTTGGGTGTGGAGACAGTTGTTGTCAATGCTGGAGTAGTACCTTTTCTTTAAGAAATTTCCACCATTTAATCAGGTTTTCCATTTGAAAAACAGCCAATAAGAATGACACACACTCTCTCTCAAAGACCTGTGATTGGACAGAGTCTCCCATAATGGACTAGATTTTTCTATGTCTACCTGGAGCCAAAAGGAGGAGCAGAGGTCTAGTTTTCTCACAGGCCAGTTGAATTAGAATATCTGAATATATACACATATAATATATAATTACGAATTTAGAAAAATCAGCTACTGTTAATGTCAACTTGCAGATGAAAGGCAGTATACACCAGCCTTGTTCAAAACTAAACTATCATAGGTAAAGAATTGCTTCTTAACATGGTACTGAAATCTACTCATGGAAAAAAGTTTGAGGATTCCCAGACTGAGTCATGCAGAATCACACTGAATGCATGAAAGAGACAATCTATACTTTAAGTTATTTATCTAATGTGTCCTTGCTTGCAGTGACTGTGCTCCTACCAGCCCCTCTTCTGCTGCACAAGATGACGACATGGCGCAGAAGCTGTGGGAGCTGAGCTGCCGTATGCTCTCCATTACATGGGAATAAACCAACCTGGAAGGACAAGAAAATCCATCCATCCATTATCTATACACCGCTTAATCCTCACTAGGGTCGCAGGGAGGCTGGAGCCTGACAAGATAAACTTTAGTGTCTTTCTCTGCTAAATGCTGCAATAGATCTGATTTCACCACTACTGCCTGCCAGGAAATAAGTTTCAAATGACCTCATACACTTGCATTCAGTTTTATATTTTTCCAACAATTGTATTAGTATGTTTTACACAATAGCTGTAATTAATCAATGTAAGCGTATATTTTGTGTAAAGTTTATGATCTTGATGTATGTAATTTACTGAGAGCCTAAATAATGTTCTATTCATTTTGATAAAAGCTGTGCAAAGGTTATTTTATTGATACTGGTGGAATATTTCAGTGACTCGGACCAAGTTCTTGTCTGTGTCGAAAGGATTTTCTGTGCCTGTAGTTTCTGACAGTTATGTTGTTAGCGTTGTCATACTGTTATGCACGAGAATAGAATAGAACAGAAATACTTTATACTTGAATGATTAAATAATTATAAATATGTTGGGGGGGGATCATAAGAAATGTATGAAAACGACCTCTTTCCAGGAGGATTTGCATTCACCATGTCTTCAGCCGGAAGGAGCAGGAAGCAGATGATGTCATGTGACAGGAAACACTTGGAAACTATTTTTTTAAACCAAAACCTTTGTCTAAGTCTTCTACTAGCATATAAGTGGAAAAATTTGCTTCATTACCTCTGTGATTTTTTATTGTGAGTTGAAAATGATAGTGATGCACTTCGGCAACAATTTTTGCCAGTGGGGCCTTGACTTTGAACCTACATCTCATACTGATCCTTGCATCAGTTTGTAGTGAAAGAATAAAGCTGTTGCTATCTACCACTACTATCGTTATTTGCTGTGTCATCCTTGTTGGCATCATGCGTGGGGGTGTGGCTGGTACATAAATGATTAGTGATTCTATTTATATTTTTATGGGTTGAGTTTATCTGCCTCTTTGCTTTTAATTCAATAAATTAATACTTGTCTTTATGTTCTGTGGACTGATTTTATCTGTTTTCTTACACTTTTGTGTGAAGCACTTTGAATTACCTCGAGTACGAATTGTGCTGTACTACGGTAATAAACCTGCCTTGCCTAAATGAAGACACGCGGTTTATGCAAGTGGAACCGTCACTGGTGACATTAATTATTGACTGAACCTTGGACATCAGGAAGGGGCTGCTGCTTTATCCAGGAATTAGACACCAATTAGTTAAAATTGAAATGAATATTTCAGTAAATTAATGTGAAATTTGAAAAACACTCATATGCTAATATATTGTTATTGTTGCAAAAAAATTATTAAGAACTGATTGTTAAATAATTAATTACAATTTTAAATTACGTCACTTCTTTTACTCATATCTTGCCTAACTCCAGACTTCCCTCGTCTCCAGTGCAGCCCACATTCACATTCATTAACCACAAAGGGCGGGCTCTACCTTACCTTTAACCAATCAACACTGCCCACAACTAACAGAGTCGCAGCTGATTGGCTGAAATGTCAGCATATCAAATTGAACTTCTTGAGCTGTCAAGAAGTGGCTCCAGACTCTTCTTTGGAGACATTTGCAGGTTTAATGTGGTGTTAAATCTGACTGTACACCTTTTTTCAGGCTTTGAGGAGTTACTGCAGTCGACCTGAGTGCTGTAATAAAGAAAAATGCCAAGGTGAGAAAATTGTTCATCAAGAAATTCTTCAAACGTCTGAACAAATGATGTAGTTTTACTGCATTTCTGCTCAGGTGACATTTTTAAATCCTGATTTTCTCAGATAATGACCTAAATTATAAAGTTAATGGCTCAAAAACGATGTTAATCAATGTTTTGAGGTTGGTTTTGTTTGATCACATTTGTTTTTCTAAGTATGTTTTATTGTCATATCCATGTTGCTGGTTGAGACATTCACAGAGATTTCTCATTTTCATAGAACACTTTTCCGGCGTGCCTGGTCCTCTGCTGAAAAGCTTGATGGCAAAACTGTGGTGATCACTGGAGCCAACACTGGCATCGGCAAAGAAACAGCCAAAGACCTGGCAAAGAGAGGTGGGTCAGGCTGAAACTTAGATTCTAACCCCTGACACTGCATCTCACACTGATCCCTCTTTTAGTAAAGCTAATTTTATCTGTTTACATCATTTTTGCTTTGTCATGATTGCTTGCTTTCTGTGTGTTAGTGATTGTAGTTATGAGCAGCTCGGCCCTCTATTGTTTTCCTGGAGGATATGTTGACTTTTGGATCAGCCAGATACAAAGAATGAGCAGGTTTCCAAAGAAGCAAATGTGATTCTGAATATTTAATAGGCATGATTTGGTTGGCATCTTTCTGCCAGCTCAATTTTATTTTACCTGTTCCAAATAATTTACTGCATTTGCAAACCTTTTTGTGAATATGATGCCAAAACAGTACCTGGATTTCTAGAACAACACCTGTTTTAACTGTCTCACATTAAAGAAATATAAAAACACTACAAAAACTATTTCTTCGCTTTACCAAATAAGCCAAAAACTCACAGCAGTCAGACCTGCTGGAGATCTAAACTGCATCTGTTTAAATTCAACTTTATTTCCCCTAAACTTAGTGACACAAAGCTCTGCAGAAAATAGCAAAATGTCACTGAAATTACTAGAAGTTATTTGGTGTCATGGAAGATTTAAAATGCCAAAGTTTACAGAACGTAAGAGGAAATGAAGTAAAACACAATACATGCAGTTTTATGCATTTGAATTCTCTGTGTGCATCTACTGTGTCTTACTTTAAAGAAAAAACAAACATTAATGGTTAGTAATGTGAATACAGAAAGTCTGGATGTTTTTTAAAAACCTGGGGCAGTAGTTTTTTGAAAACTTACCTCATTTGGTTCATTTATACGGAACAGAAATTCACACATTGCATGCAAATGGAGTAAAAGTTAAAAGTAAGTTCTATTTTTTGATTGGAAAACATTAAATTTAACCAGTTGTACTCAAAAACTGTTTCAGCTGAACAAATTCTCAACCGCTGAGTTAGTTCACTGAAATTTAAGTCCACAGTTTGAAGTTTAGAATCTAACTTCTGAATCTGCACCTCACACTGATCCTCCTTCAGTAAGGCAGATTATAATATCATAAAAGCGATCTAATGCTGTTGATTTGCATTCAACAGAAATTCAACACATATTGCCAAAGTTCTTCTTTTCTGACTCAGAGAAAAAGTTTCAAAAACCATTTTTATTCTTATGGTTGAAAAGTGTTCGATTTAGCCAGTTATGTACAAAAGGTTTTTGCACTGCTGACAAATTCTCAACCACTGATTTAATTCACACCCTAATCAAGTATGGTATTAATTATCAGATAGTGTGACCAGTACACAGAGAGTCCTTTGACCAGTGACTGTAAAACTCTACCTTAAATTGCAGTTTTATTTAGATGGTATGATGCTACAGATGTTAAAAAACAACAAAACAAACACTGTTGGCATGCTGGATGATGGTGTAACCATTTGGGTTGTTGCCAGGCATGTGAATGTCCACAACTCCAGTTAGTCATCATCTAAGG